GACAGATTAGATGAGAAGAATCTCTCTCTCTCTCTCTCTCTCTCTCTCTCTCTCTCTCTCTCTCTCTCTCTCTCTCTCTCTCTCGCTCGCTCGCTCGCTCGCTTTAAAATCTGCTCAGAAACAACCGATTCCCAACGAGTCCGGCCAGAAGATCGCACGCAGTCCAGCGGTCCCGCAATTTCAACCAGATTCGATGCGGTTGTGAGTGTGACCGTGTGCAACTAGACAAGTGCGACTCTAAATGACCTTGCCTTCCCAAGAAATGACTCGATAACAACTAATAGCTCTATATCGGTTTAGCCCGACCTCCCTCCCTCCCATTCATCACTGCGCAGCACGTGAACATCAACATCATGGACCGAATATCCCAAATGCGACACGTACATATGAGCAAAAAATACCTTTTCCGCGCCAGGTAGATATGCGCAACACGCCCGTCCCGCTCATTTTGTCATGCACTCTATAACGATTACGAATTCCAACACCCCCAAACCATTAACCCCGCCAAACACTTCCCAACACCCTCTCTCTCTCTCTCTCGCGTGCGGCCAGTATCGATGGATGGTACACTGCTGAGCTGCCTTGTTACTAACTACCTGCCGGAAGAATAGCAAGTGGTAGAGCAAGTAGCGGAAGGGCCTCGTCGCACTACTCGCTATCCGCCAACATTTTGATTGCATGTGGTCATCAGTTTGTCCAGATGCATTCGAAATCTTGGCAGATGGCGAGTGGTGCAGCTAGGGCCGAAGAAGGGCGGGGATCCAGTAATCATCAAGAACAAACAGGACGGGAGTTTCGCGCCATAATGCGCGCAATGAAAATGGACCGATGGACCGAACCAGCGACGCGCGCAAGACGCGCGTGGCCAGCCTGTCGAGGACGCGCGCGCGGGCTTAACCATAGTATAGCCACTTCGCGCGCACAAGCGTATTCCTTCCCCTTCCCTATTTTGCCCGCGCGACCGCCGCTAGCGAAAAGACTCCCAAACGCGCGGGCGCGTATGTACCGCAGCCATATGATCGAAAAGAC